AACTATAAAAAACTACTTCAAGAAACCATAAGAGATCTACATAAATGGAAGAACATCCCATGCTCATGGATAGGAAGATTGAACATTGTGAAAATGTTAATGCTACCCAAAGCAATCTATACATTCAATGCAATCCTAATCCAGACCCCATCAACATTTTTTAAGGATATGGAAAAAACAATCACTAACTTTATACGGGAAGGAAAGAGACCTCGGATAAGCAAAGAAAGCATTACTGAAGAAGAAGAACAAAGTAGGAGGTCTCACACTCCTGGATCTCAAAACCTACTATACAGCCATAATAGAATAGTCAAAACTGCCTGATATCGGTACAATGATAGACACATAGAACAATGGAATAGAATTGAGAATCCAAAAATAGATCTATCAACCTATGGTCAGCTGATCTTTGACAAAGGGCCAAAATCCATTAAATGAGTAAGAGAATGCTTGTTTAATAAATAGTGCTGGCAAAACTGGATGTCCACTTGCAGAAAAATGAAACAAGATCTGTACCTCATACCATACACAAAAATAACTCCAGATGGATCAAAGACTTAAATGTGAAACCTAAAACTATAGAGTTCCTCAAGGAAAAACTAGGGGCAAATTTAGGGGACCTAATATATGGCATAGGAGCTCTGGTGGCCTAGTGCCTAAGGCACTTGACTGCTAACCAGAAGGCTGGCAGTTCAAACCCACCAGCCACTCCTCGGAAAGAAGGTTGGGCAATCTACTTACATAGTGATATCGCCTCAGAAACCCAAGTAGGGGTCGCTATGAGTCAGGTCTGACTCGATGGCACATAACAACAACAACAGTATACAGCATAAATAGACTATCAAGTATAACCCCAAAATGCACAAACAGCACAAGAGAAACTAGATAAATGGGACCTTCTAAAAGTCAAATTTTTATGTGCTTCCAAAGACTCTCCAAGAGTCAAAAGAGAACCTACAGATTGGGAAAAAAAAAAACTTGGCAATGACATATCTGACAAAGGATTTATCTCTAGAATTTATAGAAAACTCCAACACCTCGATAACAAAAAGACAAATAATCCAATTAAAAAATGGGCAGAAGACATGAATAGACACTTCACCAAGGAGGATATTCAGGTGGCCAACAAACATATGAAGAAATGCTCATGATCATTAGATGTTACAGAGATGCAAATCAAAACAACGAGATACCATCTTGCTCCAGCACTGGGAGCAAAGTTCAACAAGACAGAAAATAACAAATGCTGGCGAAGATGTGGAGAGATTGGGACTCTGATACACTGCTGATGGGACTGTAAAATGTTACAACCACTGTGGAAAGCAATATGGCGAGTCCTTCAAAAGTTGGAATTAGAAATACCATTTGACCCAGCCATTCCATTACTAGGTATATATCCTAAGGAAGCAAGAGCCTTGACAAGAACAGACATATGCACACCCATGTTCATCGCAGCACTATTTACAATAGCTGAAAGATGGAAACAACCTAGGTGTCCATCAACCGAGGAATGGATAAACAAACTTTGATACATACACAATGGAATACTGTGCAACCCTAAAGAATAACCTAGAATCTGCAAAACGCCGCATAATGTGGATGAACTTGGAGGACACTATGCTGAGTGAAATAAGTCAATCACAGAAGGACAAATATTGTATTAGTCTGTAATTGTAAAAATCAAGGAAAGGTTTATATATGGAAGGAAATTTTCTTTGTTGGTTACCAGGCGTGGGAGGGGAGGGTAGGGAACACTGATAGATAGGTAGAGATAAGTATTGATTTGGGTGAAGAGAAGGGCAATGTACCAAATGTGAGTGATCAATATGGTGGCATTGAGGAAGAGGAAGACATAGAGAGGTGCATGGGAGGTACAGGCAACAAAGATGAACCTTTTG